TCCCTCCACGACTCACCAAATGCACCAAATGAGAACGACTGTTCCGCTGGAAAACGGGAAGGATACAGCGCCATACTTTTTGTCTTTTGTGTACCCAATGAGGGCATCGCCACACCACTCTCGAAATGTGCAAAATGAGAATGAACTTGCCGGTACAACATGGCCAAATGCACCCGGCACAAAATTTTGTCTTTTTCACATTTCGAGAGTGGTGTGGCGAGGCCCTAAGTACCAAGGGTGGACTACGCCCTTACTTCTGAAAGGAGCCCGAGGAAACTGCTGAGGCTTTGTGCTTTTCCGAAGCCAGTCAGATGCATAGAGGTAAGTCCTCATGTGAGTAATCTCTGAGGGCACGCTCACACTGGGTATCAAAACTGCACCCCCCCCCACAAAAATGGGTCCGACCCCAAACACCCCATTCACGAATAGCAAACCCATTTGTCAGCAGCTTGGCGGGCCACGCGTTTGGAGAATTTGCGGTAACCTCAAGAGGCTGCCGCAAAATCCTTATTCACCGGCAGGACGTTAGAATGATGCACGGCTGGACACACATGTGACGCGCAACCTCACGCCCTGTGCTGTCTTTCGTCCGGAGTGCTAAAGGGTGCGGAATGAAGGCCCAGAAAAAAACAGCAAGATGGGGTGTGCCAAGGATTTTTGGAAAAGTGAGTGTGGGGACACAGACATAACTGAAATCCCCCATGTTGGCCCAATGAAGTAAGTCGGTTGTTTTCGCGCGTCACGGAAGGCGCGCGCGGGCACGGCGCGAAAAGAGAAAAAAAATCCAAATTCAATCCAGAAAGTATTGTCGAGCTTCCCACCGCGCTACGGACCTTCGTTTAGAGCGGACGGGCTTCGGCACACTCCGTGTATCCCATTTTCGTATTAAGTCCCGAAGTCGCTCGTGGGTCAGTTTCGAGTCCGACGTGGATGGTCTCAGCCGCGTGGCTCTTTCCTTGTGCTCATCTTCACTCCGTATCCGGTAGTGGAAGCCCTTCGATTCATAGCGATCAAAATGCTGGCACTCAGTGCACAGGGTCCGAGGCCAATGGGGCGCCACTGCCATCCACGGAATGACGATCAGCTCCTTAAATGGCAACAATACTGAGTGGGGTGGAAAGTGCGTGTCGATAATGACAAAGCCCGCATCCACAAATCCAGAACGACGATTTTCGGGAGGGAAGTAATATTGTCCACCGATTCGTGCAACAGCTTCCCGTACGTCCCACTCACATACACGTGTCCTTTCCTCGTTGTAGGGGAAGGGGCGTGTCGGCGAGGGAGATACGGAAGGCTGACGCCCGATCGAGGAACGACCGTTAGTCCACATATCAATCAATCAGACGGAGTTTATACAAATCCTCGAGACGTCATCAAAAAGCACAAAAAGAACTAACTAGTACCTTCCTTCCTTTAGACACGAGAGAAACAGCTTACGGAACCCGCACCATCATGCATTAATCGGGTTGAAGTTCCGAGGGATCAACCCGCGACCCAGTTTCAGCAGACCCGATCAACAAAAACACGAGGCGCCTAGCTTTTTCGAGGCTGCCTCACCGACTACCTGTTGATGTCGTACAGCATAAGGCAGATGACATGCGCAATGCATTCAGAACCACATATGTAAACACTCTTGCATTCTCGAACAAAATCCCATCGAACGCTAAGTCTAATCAATCGCAAAAAAATACAAACATTTCTATACATACATTCACTGTGGAAGGTGCGAAAATGACAAGGGTGCACAGGTCAGAAATCAACCAAGGGATTGTACACACGCATCCACCGTTCACAAGACAAGAGGATTAAGTTCTCGACGTCTTGGGATTACCCAGCAAACTAATGGAAGAGTTCCGGAAGAAGTTCTTCCTCGCGAGAACTCACGAAAGTTAGCTTCGGTTCACAAGAGAGACAAACCCACAACACATCGTNAAACTAATGGAAGAGTTCCGGAAGAAGTTCTTCCTCGCGAGAACTCACGAAAGTTAGCTTCGGTTCACAAGAGAGACAAACCCACAACACATCGTCATTCAAGTCAGAGACAGAGAGAGATGGGAGGGATAGACGAGAAAAGTCGAGACAGAAGAGACCAGAATTCGATAAGAGGACATTTGGCTTCACAGCCATGAACTCACACAAAAAAAATGATCTGCAATCATGAAGGCGCATTCGCCGTAAAATTCCAATATGGCCCCAGGTCAATCATCCACTCAACTCCAATCACAAATCCTCATACCCGCACCGACGATCCCGGTTGTCGCGTGCTAACTTCCGCCACTGCGATCGTCACCCCGCTGACGCAGACTCGACTCGGCTCGCCCGGATCCCACAGTCCGTCGTGGCAATCAAGCGCGCAACCGGCCAGACTACTGTCAGCCCGACAAGACTTTCCGACTCGCACCAAACACCTTACCTAGCCACTGCTTCCCAGAAGCTGGCTTGGGAGTTGAGAACGTAAGAGCTTTGCGAGCGTGCTTGCGGAATTTATAGTTGCGAGAGAGGAGATAGATGGGGGAAGAGTCAAAGGGGAGATCGAGGTGTAAGGAGAGAAGGTTCAGCGAAAGGTGCTAAGGGGAAGCCATGTTGATCCTTCAGAACCCAATGGTCGGCCAATCAGATTCATCGCGCAATAGGAAGATCCTCTTACTCAACGCGTTTGATTGGTGAGCCGGGGTAATCGGAGGATCAACTGGGCTTCGAGAGCCGAGTTTGAAGAGCGAGAAGAGACGAGGCGCGAAAAGCAGCGTGAGACGGGTCCAAGATTCAGACGATCAAGAAAGGGAAACCGGCGCGCAAAAAGCAGAGAGAGAGAGAGAGGGAAAAAAAACAGTTTCGATAGGAGAAGAAGAGAAGGGGGAAGGGAGAGAGAAGAGGGCGCGGGGGAAGAATAACGTGGGAAATAAGGAGGAGGAAGCTTGCATGCGCGGTGCCGACAACAAGAGAAAAAGGAACCAAAACAGTTACAGCTTGCCTATGTCCTACACCAATTCAAAAATTGAAATTACCATATCCGCGCGCGAAAGTCGACACGGGAAAAGAAAGTCCTATGCGTATCCATATTCTCACAAAATTCCTAGAGCTTTCTTCGACGTGACCGAGAACATTCATGCAAGGAAAAAGATACGTCGGGCTCCGCTTATTCCGTAATTCCTAACTGCCGAGCCCGATTCCCTGTTCGCTCGCTAAAGCGCGCGTAATTTCCCGTGCATTTCCCGAATTACAAAAAACAAAATTAAAAGAATCAATAAAACTTTCGAAAAAATGGGGGCCCGAACAAGGCGCCTGAAATCAAGAAAAGCGATGAGGGTTTTGTGGGGTCGGTATGATACAGAGAGGGGGTATTGAGTCAAGGCGTACGAATGATAGCACGGGGTCGGGAAGTGGTTCGTCACATATGTGACGCACAGGGGGTTCCAAAATTATGCGATTTCCTGATTGCATGAAAGTTCGAACAAAGGGAATAGGAGGAGACGAAGAAGTAGGAAGAAGTACAAGGAACGAAGGGGGGGGGGAGAGAAGAGACGAAGAAGCAGGAAGAAGTAGGAGCTCGGATCGGCATGATGAGTTGGCGATAACATCCGTGGCAAGATCTCCGTGAAGCATGCCGGCTGATGCTGTTTTGGATCCCGTTCCGTGCAGCCCTGTCATATGCAACCCCCTGTCCTTCGAACTTCGGAGATCGTCCAGGTGGCACCATCATGGTCCATCAGATCTCCGTGTGCTCTGCACCCCCAATCCAGCGCAGTCCATCGAGTCATAGCATAAGTTGACGTCATCGTCAATGACGTGATCTTCACGAAAACTGCTGATTCGTACCGTTCTTAGGACACGTGGCGGGCATCAGCGCCGTGTGGGAATGGGAAAGTAGACATTATACATGGGGGGCTGTCGACGGGGAGGGTTGAGGGGAAGTGGAGGTAGGTATCGGTTCATCCCTTCCTCTGTGATCGGGAGCTCCTCGTAGCGGATGATCCGGTGAAAGCGGGGAAACCGATCGCTGATGTGAGGGAGGGAGGCGAGGTAGTTAGGGTAAAGGGTGGAGAAAGTGCGGAAGAGTGCCGCGTGAAGCAGATCGTGATGGTGACACGCGGGGATGGTCCCTGTAATTACGCAGTTAACTTCTACTGCGTTACTCTGTTCCCACGCGGCGCTGAACAAGAGGACGTGTAAACAGAACGTGGGGTTTGTGGATTGGAGGGAAGGGTGGGGATGGACGGTGATGGCGAGACGGGTGAAGTAAGAGTGACGGAAGGTATTGGGAGGAAAGGGGTTGCGAGGGAAGGTGACGGGGGTAGAGATCTGGCAGAGGGTGAGGTAGTCAAGGGGACGACGGGATAATGAACGGGGACGAAGGACGATTCCCCGCATCGGTACGTGGACGAACTGGGGGACGGGTTGGGGTGGAGGGGGAGGGTGATCGGCTCCATCTCCGTCGCGATGCGCTCGGAGCCGCGGTTGTTGATCCGCCATCTTCGGGCTCGGGGGGCTCTGGATCCCTGGTTGGGTCGTCGTTGATGCACAAGCTCGTCCCGCTGGCGATCTCCAGCTGGTTTTTCCCGGCGGCGATCTCTTCCCTTCTACGTGCCGCTTCGGGATCTTCCGCCTTCGTGCCTGTGCGCGCCGCTTCTTCCGGCAAGTCCTCCCACTCCGATCCGGCTTCCTCCTCTTCGTCTTCTTCTTCTTCTTCTACCTCCTCCCCTTCTTCACTCTGCTCCCCTTCACTGTACTCACTATAACTTCCCTCCTCCGACGTTTCTTCGTCGGCGTCAGCCTCTTCTTTAATGGCTTCCTCTTCTCCTTTGAGCGCCTCCTCAGGCTCTTCCTTCGGATAGAAGGCACGATCGATGATTCCGTACGTCTTCAAGTACTCCTGCCGCGATGGCAGAGTGCTGTCACTCCCGGGTTCTTCCAAGCACGCAGTCCACTGAAGATACGGCGCCAATGTCCGTGTGATGACGTGCGGAGCGGGACTGTCGTCGCTTTGCGAATCGATGTCGAGGGAGAGATCGTGCTAATTGCACGAGCGGGACGACGAGTTCTTGAGAAATCGGTTGGCGATGGTCCGGCCGCACTGATCCGAAGAGAAAACCGAGAAGATCACCTTCCACGTCCGTTCTCCAAGCCTGCAGGATCAACAGCTCCAGGTATTCGATACCCGCAGGATGCTCACTGGTCCACGTCCACGTCACCTGTACTCGGGCCAAGCACACAGACAGATCGACAAAGGTTTCGCGCCACACCTGCCAATGGTCGGGATTAAGAAGCAGGACGGCAAGAGGCTCGAACAGGAAAGAAAGGCGAGGATGGAGATCGGATTGCCAGAAGGTGAGAAAAAGAGAGGGGAGACCAAAGGTGGAGAGAGGAGCGAGAGGAGCGACGCAGTTCATTGGGGGCGTTGGAAGGGGATGAGGGTAGGGAGCACGACTGCCGGCTGGCGCGGAGATGTGCGAATTCCGTCGAAATCAGTCCCGGATGTCGGGACCAGATTGTTCCCTGGACGCGCAAGACCGTGATGCCACTCAGTTGACAACTGATGCGTCCACTCTCGTAGAGAGGTCAAGATCGTGGTATGCCGTAGTGGGCTGACCGCGCTGATGTCGACGGTGAAGGTAGCGACCGTGGTGACATGGCTTGTCCCTGGAGCCGCTCGTCGATGAAGAGCCACCACCTCTGCCAACACTACTGCCTGCTGACTCCCGGCGAATCGGAACGCATCAGCGGCACACGCTCCCTGGGTGCAGAAAAACTGCGCCACTCTTCGAAGATCAGGACTGAGCCGCGGATAACGAACTTGTCGGATCTCAGAGATGTAGCCACGTGGTTGCAGCAGATGATCGCCAAGAGCTTGCTTCGTGATGAAACTCATGGCGAGGATGAGGAAGAAGATGAAAGAGGGGAGCAGGAGAGAGAGAGCGAGGCGGGAACTAGATCGTCGTTAACCTCTTCTTCGGCAGATGACGGATGTGGAGGGAGATCAGAGGGAGGGAGAGGACGGATATAAGAGGTATGGCGGACGATGGGGACAGAGCTATGGCTGGCGCTGGCCTCGAGGGTGATGCACACCGTGTTAGCACCGTTGGGTCCGAGCTCGACAACGCGGAAACAGCCAGAGAACTTGGGAGCGAGTTTGTGGTCGCATGCACATTTTCGTACCTGTACCAGGTCTCTTAATTTATATTGATGTTGGGGACGGATGTTCCCATTTCGGGCCTCGTAGCTACGGACTTGTCTTCCGTGGGCTAGATCAGTCATTTTCTGTCCTTTTCGGGTTGGCTTAGGAATGACCCTTTCCATTAAATCGGCATACCTTTTGACCTTGGCCTTAAGGGCGGCACGCGTGTCTCTACCCCCGGCTTCGGCAATTTCCGAGTTGCCCCGGTAATCGATACATGGGAGGCTATTGGTTCGAAGTTGGAAGGGGGTGAACCCCGTGGATTCATGAGGGGTGGCCCAGTGAATTTCGACGTTTTGGTATACAATCTCGGGCTAAGGACTCATGTCACGCGCCACTAAATTTCTACGAAGGGCAGTCTTAATCATGCGATTGGCATTTTCGGCCCACCCGTTCGACTAAGAACGTGAGGTGTCGTGTGTCAAAGCGTAATGCCTCTTCGTGCGAGCAATTCCTCTACCTCACCTTTGAACTCGGACCCATTGTCGGTTAGAATTTCTTGCGTATCTAGGTGAGTATAGAGAAACCGATCGATGTACATGGCTATCTCTGCCGCCTTACGAGTCTTGCAAGGGTGTACCTCGATGTATTTGGAAAAATGGTCTATTAAAACTAAAAGGATGGAATATTCGCAACGGTTTGGGCCAGGTGGCACGTCGATATCTGTCGTGTCCATATTGACTCGTTGGAAAGGGCGTTCTACTTATGTCGGTACTATCGTGTTTGGTTCCCGTATTGGGGCACGATCGGCGGCACAGACCAGACAGTTGGCAACTACGTGTCTGACATCATCCCGTATGTTACACTAGAACCATCGATTCTGATCTATAGTTGCCTCCGTGATACGTATCGCGAAGTGAGCGGCCTGCTCTTCGTAAGCAGATCGGGTCCAATCATATCTCTGGAATGGATGGGGAAGTGTCAACCACAAACCCGATCCGTCAGTTTTACGTTTTTCTAGGTGATTGTTGATCCATCGGTAATCCCGAGATCTCTCAGCAGCCCGACGTCAGCCATGCTTAGTGTGATGATCCAATGGTAAACCAGCCAGCTTAGCTAATAGGATTTTATCCGTCCAGACCTCTGCTCGTCGATATTTCTCGTCGTATTCAGGGCCGTCCGTACGGGCAGCCTCGAATCGAACCTCAGTAGGCAGTTTGTCCGTTCTACACAGAGGACATTTTCATTCCCTGCTATTCGTTCGGTATCGAACGCATGCATCGTGTGCACGATTGACACACGTGGCACAGTTCACCCACTCAACGAATCCGGTCTCAAAAGGATGACAATTCACCCCATATACCCGTGTAATACATGTGCAAAAATAGCAGAATCTATCGGGAACGGTGGCAAAGAGGGCCGAGCTGGCGAGAGGGCCGAAATCAGCAGGGGAAGAAGGGGTCACAGAGACAGGTGGAGTGGCCATGATGAGAGAGGAGGAGAGAGAGTGAGCAGGGCTGCAGAGAGTTAGCAGGGCTGGAGAGAGAGAGCTGGCGAGAGGGCCGGAATCAGCAGGGGAAGAAGGGGTCATAGAGACAGGTGGAGTGCCACCTTGAAACCAACATCTCTCAAAGCGTGCAGCGTCCACTGCTGCACATGCCCCTCGTAAGAACTCGAATAAACCAGAATATCATCCATATACGCGATTACACAATAATGGATGCTGCTCTGCGCCAGTCGTTTCTTCCGCACAAAGTTCTGAAAAGCCATATTCATGGCTCGCTGGAAGGTTGCTGGAGCATTGCAGATGCCCATCGGACATCGAACCCACTGCCAAGTTTCTTCAAACAGTACAAATGCCGTTTTCGGACGATCCTTCTTTCGAACAAGAAGATGATGAAACCCATGTCGAACATCAAACTTACTGAAAAATCGAGCACTCCCAATCGCATCCAACAACTCATCAATCCGGGGAAAGGGATACACATCTTTGATCGTGATATCATTCAACTTTCGATAATCGATGCATATGCGAATCCCTCCGGCCTTTTTGGGCATGATTACTACGGGAAACGACCAAGGTCCTATTGCAGGTTCGATCCATCCATTGGCCTCAAATTCCTTGATTCGCTGAAACCCGGCCCCCCGTTGGGCTGGCGAGTATCGATAAGGGACGCAGCTAATGGGCGGATGATCTCCTGTGAGGATGGCATGCTCAATTACATGGGACAGTCCGATATCGTTATCGAGCATACTTAATACTTCTATGTACCCATTTAAGACATCAATCAGAGATTTTCGAAATTCCAGGGGGACGTGATTCGGTAGGGTGATTGTCGGTTGATCAGGCATCTCCAAGGGTATGCCGATCAACTCATCAGGCCGATTCCGTCGGTCATGGACGCTAGAGAAAACATAGCTGCTAGTGCGGACAGAAAATACAGTCACGATCATCTGGGATTCAGCAGGGCTAATCATCTCGGTCTCTTTAGCTTCGGCGTCAGTTTCCGAATCAGCTGAGGTTCCTTCCACTGTTAGTCCTGTTAGATCCACCATTTCCTGCATTAGAACGAGCACATCATCGACATGAGCTTCGGCTTCTTGTTTAATCAGAGCGATGGTCACTCCTGTCGTAAGCAGTGATCTTGGGGGGGAAACAGAAACATCCAGGTATTGTTTCACCTGTTGATAGCGTGCTCGTAGGGAAAGTGTTCCCTCGTACAAGGTGCGAGGGGGTTCCAAATCGTCTGCTAGGTCAGATATTTGCAGGATGGGTTCTCCGAAAAAGGTCGAGGGACTGACCTGGGTTTCCATGGGCGTGGGCGCGCTGTCTTCCAGACTCAAGTGGAAGGTTCGGGCGGTTCTGGGGACCATCCGAAACTCCTCGGGGGTTTCGTGCTCGAAAAGTTCGACCAAGTGTTTTCATTCACTCTCGCTAGGCATCTCTTCCTCGCACTACTGTTCTTCGAATCCGCTACTGTTATCCGGGGATGAAGATTCCTCGTGATCGAGACCTTGAATCATCCCTATCTGAGCAGGGTTAGGATTATTTTTTACTGTTCGGGTTGAAACCCGCAACGGAACTGTCTGAGGCTTTCCTCCTGTTTGTGTGAGCACCAACTGTTTGGAATCGAAATGCATGCGGGCACCTACCGCCATTGCCCAAGGCAGTCCTAACAACACCGAATATGAGTGCACATCTATGACCAAGGCGTTCACGAGGACGTGTACTCGTCCAACTTTCACGGCCACATTCTCGATGACTCCTACAATATTCATTGCTTCCTCGTCGGCAGAGACGTATTGGTCTTTGCCAGATTGAGGGAGAATCGTGTTGAGTCGTCCTATTCTTTTTACCGTGTCTAATGATATAGCGACCGCAGAGGAGCCAATATCGATGAGAGCGTTAAAGGGTTTGCCCCATACCTCGCAATCACATTCAACACTTTTCCACAGCACTCGTCGAGCTCTCACGAAGTGATCTTTCTTTGCTAAAGAAATTGCAGCTTCTCACGTTGCTTCGGGTTCACCATCTTCGGGTTCAGGCGATGCAACATCCTCCGCTCCTTTTTCCTTCTTCGCGTTGATTCTTCTGCCATTGTTGCAGCAACTTGTCATTCGCTGCTTCGGATATGGTGAGCAAATGCCCCACCGGGACCGGAACACGAATGTCCAACTGCTTAAGCGTTCTTAGGACATCGATTTCGCCCGTCCGAAACTGTGGTCCGGGGTTAGATTCGCATTCGACCCACCAAGATCGTCCTGAGCTGGTCGGATTGCTCCGATCATTCCGGCGAGATGAAGGTATTCGAGCGGATCGATCACGTCAGCAGCGTCAGAAGAAGAGATTCCCGAGGTCGATGCGGTTGTCATTGAGGGGGAAGGGAGCTCAGGGGCGTACGCAACGATCTCCTCGCTTCGAGCCGTATCCATTAGTGCGGCCATTCATCCTTGATTCAGGACTACGGGGGCTGCAGCAGGTGGGGGTTGATTTCGTTTCGGCTGCAGACAGTCCCGGGCAAAATGCCCGGGCTGTTTGCAGTTGTAACACTCGATTTTCCCTGCCAGGTTGGCTGTGTGAGGGAACTGTTGTGCATGTCCAGGTGCAAGCGGAGCAGGCAAGAGCGGAAACGGTGCAGGGGCAGGTCGAGCAGAAGCCGGGTTGGGCTTAATTAGTCTGCTCATTATCTGTTCCATTCGATCCATGTGAGCCGCCTGCATTTGGATCAGATTGTTCATCCATTCAGATTGCCTGGCGGTAGCTGTATGGATCATTTGTGCCAAGTGCATGTTTGTTATGGCCATAGGGGAGGAATCTTGGGAGCTTCTGGGTTTAACTGCTGCTACCTGTTGGTTCATTGAGAGGATTGGGGGAGGGGGAGAAGGAGCTGACGGGATATCAGAGGCAGCCCCTTCGGGAAGGTCATGATCAGGCCGGGGATAAAAACATTCCACCGCTCGCAACCACGATCGTCGTTTCGCCGCTACATCCTGAATCGTATCCGTAATGTCTCAATCTCCCTAATTGATATATTTCTTGGTATCCGTCAGGTCTAACTCAAGTGCTTTAGCGATGATAGCGGATAGCTGGTGCGTTTTAAGGGGGGCCTTTTTCTGCAGCTTACCTTTTAATGTCGGACTTCGTAGATGATCGATGAATAAATCTCGGGCGGACTTTTCATCTCGCCCTGATTTGTCTAACGTAGTTTGGAATCGATCCACGAAGTCAGGCAGCAATTCCCCTGGTCCTTGTGGTCGAGTCTTGAGCACATGCCATGCGGCGTCTTCGCTAACCGTATCAAATCTAGCCAGGAAGGCTTACTTAAAGGTGTTCCAGTCTACCCACGTGTGTTTTCTAAACCAATCATGCGTTGTGTTGCGAAGCAGCAAGGTGAGGACGCGGGGGAGATCTCCCGCACCATACCCTTGAGCTTCGCCGACGACTTCCAACCAAGCTTCGGGGTCGGTGTGATTAAGAAAGAAAGGAAAAGGGGCGGGAATACTAACAATTACCCTGGGAGGAGCTACGTTACCGTCACCCATTGGCATAGTCGGTCTAGCCGTACCAGATCTAGATCTGGTCACTGGGCGATCTCGACGAGCAGGTTGAGGACTCCTTCTACCTCTCGCCAGCTTGACTTACTATCATCAGAAGCGACAAGTGTCGGCTCCGATACCAACCTCATGCCCTGTGTTGTCTTTCGTTCGGAGTCCTAAAGGGTGCGTAAAGAAGGCCCAGAAAAACAGCAAGATGGGGTGTGCCAAGGATTTTTGGAAGATTGAGTGTGGGGACATAGACATAACTGAAATCCCCTGTGCTGGCCCGATGAAGTTAGTCGGTTGTTTTCGCGCGTTGCGGAAGGCGCGCGCGGGCACGACGCGAAAAGAGAAAAAAAATCCAAATTCAATCCAGAAAGTATTGACGTGCTTCCTACCGCGCTACGAATCTTCGTTTAGAGCGGAGGGGCTTCGACACACTCCGCGTATCCCGTTTCCATATTAAGTCCCAACGTCGCTCGTGGGTCAGTTCCGAGTCCGACGTGGATGGTCTCAGCCGCGTGGCTCGTTCCTTCTGCTCGTCTTCACTCCGTATACGGTAGTGGAAACCCTTCGATTCGTAGCGATCAAAACGCTGGCACTCGGTGCACAGGGTCCGAGGCCAATGGGGTGCCACTGCCGTCCACGGATTGACGATCAGCTCCTTAAATGGCAACAATACTTAGTAGGGTGGAAAGTGCGTGTCGATAATGACAAAGCCCCCATCCACAAATCCAGAACAACGATTTTCGGGAGGGAAGTAATATTGTCCGCCGATTCGTGCAACAGCTTCCCGTACGTCCCACTTGCATACACGTGTCCTTTCCTCGTTGTAGGGGAAGGGGCGTGTCGGCGAGAGAGATATGGAAGGATGGCGCCCGATCGAGGAACGGTCGTTAGTCCACATATCAATCAATCAGACAGAGTTTTTACAAATCATCGAGACGTCATCAAAAAGCACAAAAAGAACTAATTAGTACCTTCCTTCCTTTAGACACGAGAGAAATAGCTTACGGAACCCGCACAATCATGCATTAATCGGGTTGGAGTTCCGAGGGATCAACCCGCGACTCAGTTTCAGCAGACCCGATCAACAAAAACACGAGGCGCCTAGCTTTTCGAGGCTGCCTCACCGACTACCTGTTGATGTCGTACAACATAAGGCAGATGGCATGCGCAGTGCATTAAGAACCACAGATCTAAACACTCTTGCATTCTCGAACAAAATCCCGTCGAACGCTGAGTCTAATCAATCGCAAAATACAAGCATTTCTATACATACATCCACTGTGGAAGGTGCGAAAATGACAAGGATGCACATGTCAAAAATCAACTGAGGGATTGTACACACGCATCCACCGTTCACAAGACAAGAGGATTAAGTTCTCGACGTCTTGGGATTACCCAGGAAACTAATGGAAGAGTTCCGGAAGAAGTTCTTCCTCGCGAGAACTCACGAAAGTTAGCTTCGGTTCACAAGAGAGACAAACCCACAACACATCGT